TGGATAGAGTGCTGGGCCTGGAGTCAGGTAGACCCAAATCTGGTCACAGACACTTACTAGCTATCTGACCCTGGGCAAGTAGTCACTGAACCCTGTTTGCCTCAATTTCCTCATCTGTAAAATGAACTGAAGAAGGAAATGGCAAACCACTCCTGTATCTTCGTCAAGAAAACCCCAATGGGATCACAAAGAGTCAGATATGACTCAACAAAAAGATGTCAATATAAGTTAACAGGGATCCATTTCTAATTGAGTCTTACACCACTGGTTTACCTGAAGCCTTCTGTGATTCTTTCCTTCCTGTCTCACTCTTGGGCAAGAGACCTGGGATCCTACTTAACCGATACCTTCACTAGGACTGGTCTGCATTGTATTCACTTTTAAAACAATCTCCCACAGCACCTAGTAGAGCAGCAAATACTCCATAAAATGTTTGATGAATGAATGAATGAATGAAGCTCCTCCACTTAAGTTCCCTTCCAAGGACCTACCTGTGATGTGAAGGTGAGTCTAGATTCCTAAAGGGTATGCTCTGACAGTGAAGCTTAATCTCTGGAAGGTATGAAAACCTTTTCAAGTCTCTTCCAGCTCTTAACTCTGTGATCTTAAGGAGGGCAGACTGATGACCACCTGTGACTGCCAAAGACCAGCTAAATTAACGCATTTATCAAGCACCAACCAATCAGTCAATTAGCATTTATGAAGTGTTTTCAATGTGCCCATTAGGCATTAAGGATACAGAGACAGAAATGAAACAATTCCTGCTCTCGAAGAGCTTACGTTCTACCAAGGGAGATAACATGTACATATATAAGTATGCACAAGGAATCCAAAATTAAGCCAAATACAATGTCTAAAGAGGCTACTATGTGGCCCAAGTGGATAGAGTGCTGGGCCTAGAGTCAAGGAGACCTGAGTTCATATCCAGCCTCAGATACTTACTAGCTGTGTGACCCTGAGCAAGTCATTTAACCTTGTTTGTCTCAGTTTCCTCATCTGTACAATAAGCTGGAGAAGGAAATCGCAAACCACTCCAGTATCTTTGCCAAGAAAAACCCAAATGGGGTCAATGAAGAGTTGGACACGACTGAAAAAAAAACAAAACTAAGCAACAGCAATATCTCAATCCAAATTGGCCACAGAATGAGGAATTTTTCATTCCTAATGACTTCTTTAAGTCCTAGGGATTGAGATCTTTTTGTGTGTAGTGAACATTTATACCCACAATCATACATCCTTGAAATACTGAAGGAAGCGTTGTAATTTAGTTAGCATTTTGCCTAAGCAATGAAACAAGCACTCCATCAAGTGACCAAAAGTGTGTATAAGTTTTGGAACCAAAAAAGCTCGCAGTATTTTGCAATTCCATTTTATATAGCTTGGGTTCCAAGAACATATTGAAGTGATATCCAAAACTGGTTCAACACACACACACACACACACAAACACTATTCTAAAAGAAGACTTCAAGTGGAAGAAACCAAGGAAACTGAAACTCAGTCTAAAGCCTTCCCCAGCACACTCCACCCAGACTGACTATTGCCCCCTTAACTTCTACTTCCACAGAAACAAGCTCCTCTGTGAAGATTAATTTGCAAGCCTTCTATAAAGGGGCATTGAAATCCTGGGAAACCTCTAAAGCCCAGAATGCCTAAACCCTAGCATTCCTTAACCTCTTAAGAACTCAACAAACTCTATTAAGTACTTCCTGTGCTGTTGCACATTGCCAAAGCCCTGGACTCTCATGGATCTTATTCTAGTCAGTCCTAACCAGTCTAGTTTAACTAAGACCCAAAATGCCATTGGCTCCTTCCCTGGTAGTGGATAAAAGCATACTTTTTAAAATTACAGGAAGGGATCTCAGAGGTCATTAAGCTGACCCTGTAATTAAGCAGGAATCTTCTCTGCAGCATCCCAGTAAGTTGCCATGAAGCCTCTACCTGAATACCTCCGATGATGGTGAGCTTACTCTCCCTGGAACAGCCCATTTCACTGTTAGATAAATATAATAATAACAACAGTTAACATTTAGGTAGCACTTACTAGATGCCAGCTACTATCGTAAGCACTTTACCTCTATTAACTCATTTGATCCTTACAACAACCCTGGGAGATATGTGCTATTATTATCTCCCTTTTATAGATGAGGAAACTGAGATAAACAGAAGTGACTTGCCCAGGGTCACACGGCTAGTAAGTGTCTGAGGCTGGATTTGAACTCATCTTCCTGACTCTAAGCCCAGTGACTCTATCCACTGTACCACCTAGCTCCCTCTAAGTTCTAATTGTTAATTCAATACAATCCAGCAAGCATTTATTAAGTGTTTATAATGCACCAGGGCACTCTAGGCCCCAAAATTTGGCTATTTAATTCCTACTCATTGAGCATCATTCTTCCCTCTGGGGTCAAGCGGAAAAATAGTATAATAGTAGCAGCTCACATTTCCATACTGCTTAATGGTTTACCAAGTACTTTACTTCCAGAAGCCTAGTGAGATAGATAGTAGAGATATCCCCATTTTACAGATGAGAAAAGTGAGGAAAGTGACTTACCCAAGGTGAGAGACTGATTGTAAGTGCAGAGTCCTGATTCTAGCCCAGGTCATGTAATGCAAAATTCACTGCCCTTCCATTAAGACACACCACGTCCACTAGTCTAATGTCTCTTCTATAGCACATCCCTTCAAACAGGAGGATAGTGATAATGTTCCCCCAAGTCTTCTCTCTTGCAAACTAAGTGTCCAGATTTCCCTCTATCATTCCTGCCTAGTATAAGATGATTTCTGAAACTCCTCTTATTATCTGGTATGCCTCTACATCTGGATCCATGCCTTAGCCAGTCCCCAAATGCATGCTAAATTATCTTCTGGGTCATTTTGTCCTTTCAGTTACCCTTATAGGATTAGGATGCTTCTTTCTTCGTTTGAGAGGACTAAGAGATTAAAATGTTGTATTTTATGTTATAACTTTCTTTAGATTGAAGAAATTTCCTTCCCTCAAGATTTGATTCCAGGACAGAAGCATGGTCAATTGATAAATAACAGAGCTAGAATGAGAAGGGACCTAAATGGCACCTAGCCAATCTGCGTCATTTTACAGACGAGGACACACGTCCTGAGATGTTAAGGGATTCACCCCTAGCAGATCAGGGTATGGTCACCTGCCTCATTTTCTCCAGTGTCAGACAGCTCTCCTGTCTTCTGGGCGACACTTTCTATGTGTAAAATGGGTATGACAATAATTCCTATCTGTCTAAGATTGGATGTTCAAACCCTGGCTCCCTACTTCTATAATGCTACACAAGTCATTTCATCTCTCTAGGCCTTAATTTGCCCAGAAAGTGGGGATCGTAATAAGACTTTCATCCCCTAGCTCAGAGGGTTTTGAGGAAAGTATTCTACAAATTTTAAAGTGTTATGTAAATGCATGATTACTGAGAGAATTAGCCCTTAAGGGACATAAAGAAGACTAAGTAAACATTTTTTTAAAAAAATATGAAAACTTTGATTTCCTTGGTACAAGGAATGAGGAACTCCCTGTACCAATGCTTCTACTTCTAGAGAGCTGCCTGGGCACCGAGAGGTTCAACACTTTATACAGGGTCCGCGTAGCCAGCGAGTATCAGAGGAGAAGCATGAACTCAGATTGTCCTGTTCTGAGGTCACCTTTCTATAGACTATACCACACTGCCTCCTGATATAAGGTAAAAAATATGGCTAAGGACAGAAAATGGGATTTCATTGGTATAGAGGACTCCCAGATGAGGAAACTCCTTTTACCGACACATACTGGTAACTGTTCTGGAACTTAAAGTCTTAGAGAGTTGAACAGAACACTGAAATAAAATTTAAGTGACTTGCCCAGGGTCACACAGTCAGTATGTGTCAGAGAAAAGACTCAAATCCAGGTCCTACTTGCTCAGAGGCCTATTCTCATTCCATTGTGCCACGTAATTTCTCTTAATGTAAATATATTGTTATTGTTTTTCAGTAGTTTCAGTCATGTCTGACTCCTTGTGACCCCACATGGGGTTTTCTTGGCAAAGACTCTGGCATGGTTTGCCATTTCCTTCTCCAGCTTATTTTACAGATAAGGAAACTGAGGCAAATAAGGTTAGGTGACTTGCCCAGGGTTACACAGCTAGTAAGTGTCTGAGGCTGGATCTGAACTCAGGAAGATGAGTCTTCCCAATTCCAGGCTCAGCCCTCTATCTACAGCTCCACCTAGCTGCCCTAAATATATGTGTGTGTGTGTGTGTATAATTTTAATTTATATATAAAACTAAAATTATATACATATAATTTTAAAATATTACAACAGTTAAAATACATGTTTTAAATTAATATATTAAAATAGAAATATGAAATCTATTAATTTCTACCTTATGTGCTTTAACTGTGGCTGTCAGTTAAAATGAGTCAGATTGGCATGGTAGAAATGAAATTACAGTAGGAAGGAGAGACCCAAGATCTAGTCCCAACTTTGCCACCAACTTCTTGTATGGCCTAGGGAAAACCACCCAAATTCACTGGGCCTCAGTTTTCTTCAGCGCACGGGGAAGTGGTTGGACTAGGTGATCTCTAGGGGCCTTTTCAGCCCTGGCATTTTATGACATCAGTCATACTCAACATACTCATGAATGATTACAAATACTAAATTTCATGTTTGACATTATCAGTGGCAGGATTTTATTTGGCATTGTAAAGTAGAAGAGAGGTTTGAAAGTACAATTTTATTCTTTTATAAGTTATGCACAAACATACGTTCAAAAGAATTAGTTATAGAAATAGTATCATTGAAAGTGCTCTTTAAATGAATACGGATAGATAGGTTCAAAACATCAAAATGAGCTAATTGCGAGGATCGTCATTAACATGCAGCTGGTTAGGGGCTAGGACAACCAATGGACCTTGGTCATTTCAACGGAGCCAGGACAATCAGCAGCATGGACAGTCGTAACACAGGGGCCTGTGCCGCAGTGACCCAACCTCTTGCTGGACCTATTCCAGGTGGGGATTGACTTTGGACAATATGTCTGTGTCAGCCTTGTCAGTCTTCCCAAGTGTCTTCTTTCCTGGAGTTAATTGGTAATCCTGGTTTGCAACCAGACTGGTGTCTGCCCTCTTTCGGGGCTGGGTCTCTGCAGGGGCCGCAGGGGGTTTAGGGGCCTCAGGGGGTTTAGGGGTCTCAGGAGGTTGAGGGGCCTCAGGGGGTTGAGGGGCCGCAGGGGGTTTAGGGG